AGGGGGGGTCAGGGGGTTCGAAAGAACCCCCTTTTTGCTGGGAAAAGGTCCTCTCTGGTTAAAATTTTAATTTGTACATGAAAGCTTTATGGTGAGAGGTCTACTTTTTGAAAAAAAAAAAGAAAAAAAAAGTACATAATAAATGTACTATTGCCCCATAGGCAATAGTCCATGTATTATGTTTTCACGAATTCAATAATTTTGCTATTTCTCCTCAGACTTAAAAAACACAGTTTTGTCAATTCTCCATCCATGGCTACGGGCCTGCAGTGTTATGCCACGATGGACCTTTTATGTTTATTCAGAACAGTCATTCAGTATTGAAACATCACACAACTTCACGATGATGCAATCGAAAATGCAAATTGAACACGAACGGATTTTAGTCAGCAAAGGTCAAACATCAGGCTCGTCCGCCATCAACTGCTGGTCATTCGGCCGCGAAAAACAAACAGATGTGTAATCGAGGCAGATTCGATCAGGATGTGCGACTAATCGGGCATGTCTCGCACTAATGATATCGATATCCGCGCGTGTTGGTGTATCACTGTCTCCAAGCACCACTCACCATAGCCACGAAGGGATGTTTTCACTGGATATTCACTACAAATATCTATTTGGCAACTTCTCTGCAGCGAGAAATTTTGCACAGAAAGGGCCTCAGACAGAGGGCAGTCTCCAGGCGGGTTGGAATCAAATCTTTAAACGAGTGCGGTGTTAGTGGATAAACATTGAAAAAATATTAAAGTTACGCGGAGTACGGATGTCAGATAAATTGTTTCAGTTTACTTGTAGTTGAGCATAGTTTGCATAGTGGCTCATGATCTCGGTCTACAAATATAGGCGACGCGCCGCTAATACATGGATATCTGACTTTTGATTGAATTTCATTTCATTTTGACACTGGTGAATACAGGAACAGTAAAATTATCTACCCCTAGCTGCTTCCTGAGTTTATGACTGGCGTGCACGTGGCTGAAGAGATATACGTATGTGTGTGTGTGTGTGTGTG